GTCCCACATGAAGGAGAGGTGAGAAAAGACATTACTATGCAGAATAGGTAATATTGAAAATGCCTGAGCACTTTAGGGTGGCCTGTGCAGATTATCAATCTATTTGTATAACTTGGCTACCCAGAATTTCATTTCCCTTTTCATTTATTTGCCTTACTGCGACCGTTTACAGTGCTGAAACTGAAAATTGAAGCCATGACGAGCAACCAGGCAATATTCCAGAGGAAAATAGGCATCCCCTGCTGTTTGATTGCAAAGGTTCATTTGAAGGGACTGGGGAGGGGAATGAAGAGACCTCTTTTTGATGAGCTCAGAGGAATCATTGGAGAAGGAGTCCATACAGGATCATCTACACCTTGTTTATAAAACCTACAGAGAAATTATAATTGTTTATTTGAATTAGACCCATGGACAGAGACAAATGGCTGTCACCACTGTTTTAAAGTAGATTTATCCCTATCAGGTTTCTCCTGCTGTTAAATCCAGTGTCAGATGAATACACACAAAAAATAAAAAAACAGAACTAGCTAGCTAAAAAAGAAATAACCAATACAGCAAACAGTGCTTGCCAGGATTAAGAGTATTATGTTTTGTCCCTGCTTATTAAGGTGCCAATAATTCAGATCCACAGACTGAGATACACCTGAACAGACTGAGATTATCAAAGTTTGGTGAGCCCTCTTTTACTTATCTTGCTCGTTAATTTTAATAAGGTATTAATACCTCTCTAAAGTGCTCACCTGATTGAAGCCATTGCACAACCATGTATGTCGGTCGTCTCATGAGCCAGATGTTAAGGGAGCTATTGTGGAGAACATACCTTACTGTACATCACCATCATGGCAGTGCCCACTGTACATAATTACAATGATTTGTGGCCTCCCATTTTTCTTTTTTATTAAAAAATATCGCTGGAGGTAAGTCAGGCATGAGCAAAAGCAGGACTGCTGTGCTGAATGCAGTCTGGGCTCCAGGGAAAGCTAAGAGAACACAGCAGAGCATGGTGTCATGCCAAAAGAGAAGCCAAGTTCTGTACAGTCTCCCTACTCCAGCTACGGTAGTAACCGTTCTGGCTCGGTCATGGCATCAGAATGGGATGATGTTACCGGGCCATTTAGCTGACAGAAGAGCAGAAAGGGGGGGGGGGGCGCTGTGGAGCCTGTCAGCCTTTTGAAACCTAATGGCTGCCTAATGTGTCAGTTGCATGTGGGGGGAAGGGACGTGGGGAACCCTATACTGTATCTCTGAAAGAAAGCTATATTTTTCCAAGGATTCCATTTATTTAACGGAGCCACAACTGGCTTATTTGGTATGATGGCTGTTCCACTAATAAAACAAACTGCTAGATGTTAACCAGAAAATTTCTAAGAAAATGTCATATTTGGCATAGAGATTATATAGTTATAATGGTTCAAATACATTTAATTGAATTGGGTTCAAACCTGTTTTATTATTATTATTATTATTATTATTATTTGTATATTTCCTTCTAACTTAGTCAAATTCCATTTGGACTCATTTTTGCTTTGTGTTCATTTCAAATACATCCAGTAAATTTTGTTATGTTTTATCAAATTACACTGCTCAAAGTAGCTGCTCTATCCCTAGTTTATGCATGGTTTAAAACGCTCAATCTAGAATAATTTAACCTTATTTAAAACCTGCAAGTTATGTAGATAAATAGTTTAACATGTAAATTAAAATACATTGGATATGGATGAAGATGTCTCTGCTGGGTCCTCCTTTGCTAAATCACTAACAGATGCTATTTCTGTGTCCTTCATTAAACATCAGCTGGTTTCTCTGACAAGTTAGAAAGAAACAGAAATAATAGGTTAGTGATTAAGTAAAAAAAAAAAAATAATATATAAAGCGTTATGTAAAAAACGTTTAATAAAAACTTTAATTCTGTTTTAAAGCAGTGGATATAATATCAGTGCTGTTGGTAAGATAGGTGAAGCTGGACACTAGCCTAAATAGCTAAACTAAATAAACATTCTTAACCATAGGCACAATAAAGATAATGTGCTCATTTTTAGCTGATGTATTAATTCATGACACAATATTAAGCTTAAATGTTCTTTTTTAATCAATGATCAATCAAGTTTAACAAAACTATTATTTACAATTGAATTCTACTTGAAAGGCCTAGCAAGCATTTGCTAACCTAAAACTTCTGCTACATCTTAAATTACCCACAGTTAAAGGTTATATTTCCAAAAGGAAAAGTGTTTTTTTCTCATGTAATACTCTCCAAAATGCATTTCTATGTTCTGCATTAAATAAAGTGTATACTAAATCCTACTGCACTTCTCAAAGAATCATTGGAAGGCTTTTTAATCAGATCATAATTTCAGGTATGGTAAAGTTATTGATTTTTTCATTTGGTAGTAGAGTTGGTTGTTAATCAGAATCAGCTGTTTTGTGTATATGGTATTAAAAAACGTGCAAGTAGCAACGATAAGATGTCCCCAAAAATTGTTTTGTAGTTGGAGGCCAAACATTTTCCATTTTTTATGCCACTACTATAGCTTTTCCCCATAGATTTCACTGCCATTAGGTGTTGGGAAGAAAATGCTCAGACACGTTGTTAGACCTTTCACTGGCGGAGGAGGTTCTGATTTCCTCCTGGTCCCTAAAACCCACAAAGAAGGAGGAATTCATACCACTGACCTTCCTCCATTATTTTAATCCTATATAACATTTCTGTAACATCAGATGGTGGTATCCATCAAACACTACCAGGCTAGAATTCTGACTGTCCAGGGGCTCAATGATTTCCCCAACTGGGATCTGGAAGAAGATACCCCAGGATGCAGATGATCATCTCATAAGTAGTATACCCTGATGAGTTTAAGCATCCATACAAGCATGTGGCATCATATGAACTACTGGCACATTTCACTTTGCCTGTGACTCTGGATTAAGCCCTCTGCGGGTTGGTAAATGTTATTGTCATCAACTGATCTGGCACCCCATTGTTCCTCACACATGACACCACCCATTCCATATCAGAATGGCTATCCAGCATGACTTCTTTTTATTGAGATCTGATGTATTTTTAAAGTGCTCTTTAATATGTTTTGAGCTTTGCTTTTTAAACTGAAGGTCTAACTTCAGAGAAAGTGTTTGAATCAAAATCAAATAGAACTTTATTTATATAATACGTTGTGTTATTACTACTGTACCTTTGCAGGTTTTCCTTTTTAAGAGCCTACTTTAAAACTTCAGCAAATTAGGCATAAAAAAAAGGAATAAGTTTTATGCATTTTCACAAAAAGGTCTATCCTGCCACCTTTGTGAGTTGTGTTAAAGACAACGAACTGACAGCCTTGGGAAATAAATAAGATCCACTAGCATTTAAACCAAAAGATGTTTCCATTACTAAGTCAAACTACAACACAGGGGATATCTGATCTCAAGCTATGCTTGGTAAGCTTGGCTGTCCATGTTCTATGTGGAAACTGGCTTTTTTTTTTTTGCATCGAGTGGCTCAACTGAACCATAAAAACAAAAACAAAAAAAAAAGCTTTTGCCTATTGTGCACCAAATAGTCTTTCTGTTGCTTATTTGTATTTTCAGTTGTTGTAAATAGACATAAACTGTGAGTGCTGTAAGAAACTACAGATGTGCTGTTTATCTGGCATTAATTTTAAACTAAGTTAATAACACTATAAGTCTCTTTATCTATCTATCTATCTATCTATCTATCTATCTATCTATCTATCTATCTATCTATCTATCTATCTATCTATCTATCTATCATCTATCTAGCTACGTTCTGATTTTTGAGGGGTCCTTGTTTAGAGAGCGGGGAATTGTATTTAGCTATCTGTGGGGTGGCAAAATAAGGGATTTACTTTGGACGTCCTTCATGAAAGAACCTTGACTGCTTGTTTATATCTCAAGCTTCTTACATTTGTGTACTCAAATTGAAATTGCATTACCTTTCCCCCTACTCAAGTCTCAATCCCTTGATGTTTGTTCGAGGCAGACCTTAGCTGTACTGTGGAGGTAGGCATGTTGTGGTAGAAAAAAACAACACAATTTTATTTCACTTAGCAATTAGTTTCCTGTAGGCTAAATAGTGGCGATCACAGAGCTTTTACATTTCCGTAATAGGGAAAACTTTTTGAGGAATAATTTATACATATCCTTATGTATCTGACTCTGTCCCATATCATCATCACTGTATTAAAAGTTCTATCATGTTTTCCATTTGGTCTTCTAGGATTCCTTCATGTGCCCCCTCTGTACGCCACTCGGCGGTGCTCACATACTTCCTCTCTCGGAAAAATAATCAAGTTGTCTATAATCCACATGACTCTAGATGTTGATGCTAATAATTCGTCATATAATCGGTGAGGAGAACAATAGCAGCCCGTATTCCAGCTAGACTAAAACCAAGCTTTTGAAACGGTAAGACATTTCTTCTTTAAAAGAACGAACGTGTTCGCTTCAGTTGGCAAGGATGCATTTCAGCACCACGGAGCTGTCCAGCTGTCCAGCATTCCATAGAGAAAGCGGAAAGGCAGCGGCTCTCTGCTGCTCCCCTCACTGGTAGAATGAGCGAAGAAAGAGAGTTAATCTTATGTGAACTCAAAATGAAAAGCGGGTTTCAAGCAATGTCTACATGTTCAATAGTTCTATTATATGTAAATTGATGCAGACGTGCAAAATATTTTCATTTCTTTTAGAGATACACTTCTTAATCGTCCTATTTGACATGAAGTTGGTGGATGAGCCGTTATTTGCTCTGAGTTGGAGCACAAAGGACCGTATTCTCTATATTTCTCTATTTATAGACCCTCTTCCCTCGATGGAATGTACCAATGGCTCCGCACGTAAGAAACAGGGGGAGAGAAAATGGTTCAGTTTATAAATAGTGAGGCGAAAGCGCTCCCCTTTCACTCGAAACTCCCCGCTGCTCTGGCAAACATTGCCCCTCCTGTCCGTTTAAACCGAGAAGACACCCATACCAAGTCCTCAAAGCAAAAAAATAAAAAAAAATAAAAGGGTGCCAAGAAGCTGGGACGGAGGAACGTGGGTGTAAATAGACAGTGAACGTTGTTGCTCTCTCTCTCTTTCTCTCTCTCTCTGTCTCCCTCCCTACCCTTCTCCTTTCCTCTCCTTCTTTCTCTCTTTTATGAAATCAATGAACGAGTTATTGGGTAGGACATAAATATAAGGAATCAAAGCCTCTATCGGGACCAACTGGGCACTGCACGCTTTTTTTGATATGAGTCTTCGCTGCACGCTACATGTGTTTTCCAATCATTGTAAATACTGGCTTTGATAGGACGAGAGAGGACCCTCTCTGGCACGGCTTGGTCTTGGAACCCAAATTTTCTCCTTTCTTTTTATTTTTTTATTTTCCCTCTTCTTCAAAAACGACTCTCCGCCCGTCGCCGTCTGCCGCCGTTGTCCTGCATACATCCCCAACTCTCCCCGCGGCAGGTCAGAAGATGGCAACTTTAACCAACGGGCAGGTGGACGGCGCGGTGCACGGTGTCGGCGTCGGTGTCGTGTCTGCCAACACGAACGGGCTCGTGAACGGATTAAGCCACAGCTCAGCGGGATGCCCAGCCACCATACCCATGAAGGACCACGATGCCATCAAACTCTTCATCGGCCAGATCCCGCGCAACCTGGACGAGAAGGACCTCCGGCCCCTCTTCGAGGAGTTCGGCAAGATCTATGAGCTCACTGTGTTGAAGGACCGCTTCACGGGCATGCACAAAGGTGGGTCTAACTTCCTCCGCTCATCTCAAGGCTCCAGCGAGCGAAGGGTAGGAATTTGGCACACATGACGCACGGATGGGAGACTAATAGTGCGCAAATGGTGGCAATTTTTGAGACCTCTAAATGACTTTCTTGCTTTTGTTTTTGTTATTTATTTTATTGGATTATTGATTTATTTTTATTTTTTTTTTGCATTTTGGAAATTGATGACAGATCTTCTTAAGACCTGACGTCGATGTTTCAAAGTCACCTTAATGTGCAGAACCATCACGTGAGTGGCCCAAAAGGGAGTCACGAAAGCATACGTTAAAGAGGGAGCGTGGGTTGTGTGATTAGCAGAACAGCTCAGCTGCCTGTTACACTATCGGTGTGTGAGAGAGTGCGCGTGAATGGGGGGCAGGGGATAGTGCACGTGCGTACGAACGTGCAACAGCACTATGAAAGGCCCTATGACTATACAGCTGTGTCTACTGAAATAAAATAAAAAATTCTATAGACTAATGAGAATATTTTTGGTTCATTCTACGAACTAAACATAGTGTTTTCTTCCATTTATAAATACCATATGTGTTTTTTTTTAAGATTTTTTTTAAAGAAAATTAAAAGATCAATATATTAAAATGTAAGGAGAAAATGCTGTGTTTTTAGAGCTTATGCTTAACAATAATATTCTAATGTTTTCACTAATTAAAGTTAATATCTAACAAGCTTTGAGTGGAAACCCCTTTTTTTGATCGCACCTTGAGCGCCTTTCCTATTGGGCTCATATGAACAACCAAGCCACATTTGCTTTCCTCTTGTAAACTGTTGAGTTTATTGTACTTTTCTAAGTAATTCCGCTTCTCAATCATTATCGGAAACTCAGAACCGTATTTTAACTTACATCTGAAAACAGTAAAAATCTGGCACTGTTTGAAGTCTTTTTAAATGTGATGCCAGAACAAGTACAGAGACCTATTCTCTTCACTTCTGGTCTCCTGAGTTGTGTGAAGCATATGCAGCTTTGCCCCTCTCCCATCTGTTGCTACACACTGCATGTCAGCTGCAGAGAGGGCTACTACGTTTTTCTCATCTTTAATAGAAAGACATTTTTTTGTGTAAGGTAAAGGAGCCACCTATGGATGAGAGGGATGGACCACAATATTTATTACATTTTGTGTTTTCATTGGGATGAAAGTAGAAGAAAAATATTATTCCAACATTTTTGCTATAAATATTTACTCTATAGATTCGTTATTTATATTAAGCAAAAGCTAACATTCTAAAAACGATAGTGTTTCTTACCAGGTAGATGATATGACACCTACCATACCCGGCATTCATCCCTAATCTCAGTAGTTTAACTGCTTTCAATTTGTACTTGGCAAATTATGATACTGTACACCTGTATAACTGTTATTGTAGTCTTGCTACCTGAGCAGATAGCCTGACTGATGGACCAGTTAATATTAGGTTTTTAGACTTATCTTACTCTATATCAAGCTAAATTAATATTTTTAGTATTTCAATTATTAGTATTTTTTTGCCTTAGTCTTTAAAGGAACAATCATACAACAATAAAATCCCACTGCATTGATATCAGTGCTGTATTTAATCAATATATATATAATTACATGTTGCTGTTTGATGATGTTATACACTTTTGCATAGATAGTGTGAATGTAAGAATGTGGTATTTTTACTTACAGTTGAAAAGAAAAACGAACATCATAATGAACCACGCCTAGGTTGTATCTTAAACGTTTTAAGCTTTTTAAAGTGTTCAAACACACTGAAATCTCCAGACTTTTCCATCTTCTGACTTTTCATCTATTAAAGAAAAGTTTTACAATGGAACAATGGAATTATTTCCTTTTTTTCCAGTAAAAGAAGGTTATTTACTCTTACTCAGTTTGTGGTAGTAAATATTGACATTTATTTCAACAGTTACCCCTAAATCTAAAAACAGATGCATACAGTAGTTATATCAGTGATAATTATTTTTAGAATAAGAATAATGATGAACATACTAGCTCTACTATCCATGCTCATAGCTTTTCTTCTCTCATTTATTTTCTTCTGACTCTTAAGGTTAAGTTTTTTTTTTTTAACTATTTGAAAATATCCAAAGCGATCCGTTGAAACTAGGGTTTCAACTAACGAGTATTTCGCTAATTGATTTATCTGTCGATCTTTTTTATTTTATTAATCGATAAATAATCAGACAATCAAAGGTTCTTTAAAGAAGACCTTTTACAAAATTAAAACAGGTGAAACTAAAACTTTTCCAATTAAGGAGTTCTTGATAGTTCTGGATTGACAGACAAAAATGTTTTTTATCTTAAACGCAAAATGTTTATATATTTTTTTCCACAGTTTTGATAGAATTACTGTTCTTAGTGGGTTGCTCTACCAGCTAAAGGCATGTTTTAGAGTCTCTATACTACAATTCATGATTAATCGATTACTAAATTAGTTGACGATTATTTCAATAATCAATTAATCACGATTAATCTGATTAATAGTTTCAGGCCTAGCTGAAATGACTATGTCATATTCACCAGAACCTGTGAAGTAACATGCTTTGTAGTATAAAGTGCCCAAGGATTTAAAAATGACCAAGAGCAGGATTAAGTAATAGTTTACAGAATTCATATGAAATAACAAAAATGGTTATTAAAGGTACATTTATGACGAAATGTTACAAAAGAAAAACAATGCTGCTTCTGTGTAAAAGCACAATTTTGATTGTTAAAGCAGCTTTTCTCGAAAAACAATATTATTTAGTTTTCCCTGAAAAAAGAAAGAGCAGATCCACGTATATCTCACTGCATGTTCCCTTATCTCACTTATCAAGTTTAAATCATATAAGATATTTTACTTTAGTCTTATAACCATAGCTGACAGGATAAAACAAGTTTAAGTAACGTGGCCTTTTTTTAACGACTAATAAAGCACCATCTTCTAAAAATAATGATGGTGCTTTAACTCTCTTTTTTTTTATTTTTCTCTCTCAAGGGAAGGGTTATTCTCTGCAAATGGCCATCTAATGAGAGGTCACTAATTGATCTGCTGTACCTGCGGAACATCTCCCAGAGGAGTACGGAGCACGAACAATGAGCTGCCACACTGCAAAAAAATGTATTTTGGAAGGTGCTACATTTCTAGCCATTAAATGTGTTTATATCTAATCTAACATGCCAATGTATAATTGCAGGGTTAGCTTTTAAGTTCTAATTCTATTTTGTAAAAAAATAAATCCTAACAAATCTTTTAAATCAGAATTTAGATAAAGGATTTACCGTGCTCAGATCAGAAAGTGTTGAGGCTCAATGATATAAATGAATATGTCAGTTTAGTAAAAGTCTATAATTGCCATCAGACTTGTGGATAAGATAATTAGGACTACAGTTAAACTTGAACGTTAACCTACACAGCTCTGCAGTAGCCATTGCTCATCAGCCACTTTGCAAGGTACACCTTGCTAGTACTGGGTTTGACCCCCTTTTGTTTTCAGAACTGCCATAATCCATTATGGCGTTGATTCATAAAATATTGGAAATATTCTTTGGAGAGTTTGGTCCATATTGGCATCATAGTATCACACAGATCTGGCAGATTTGTCGGGCTGCACATTCATGATGTGAATCTCCTCTACCATCACATCTCAAAGTTGCTCTATTGCATTGAGATCTTGTGACTGTTGAGGCAGTGTGAGCACAATGAATCAGTGTCATGTTCAAGTAAACAGTCTGAGATGATTTTATGACTCTTTATGTCATGGCAGATTATTCTGCTGGTTACTCTCTGATTATAAAGGGATGGATATGGTCAGCAACAATACTCAGATAGGCTGTGGTGTTGATATGATCCTCATTTGGTACTATGGAGCCCAAGACGTGCCAGGAAAGTATCCCCCACACAATTACACTACCACCACCAGCCAGAGACACAGTCACAGCAAAAACCGAGACTCATCACACCAGGCAATGAATTCCCAATCTTCTATTGTCCAATTTCGATTAGCCTGTTTATAATTATAGCCTCAGTTTCTTGTTCTTAGCTGACAGGAGTGGCACCCGGTGAGTTCTTCTGCTGCTGTAGCCCATCCACCTCAAGGTTTGTCATGTATATTCTGAGATTACTCGTTTGTAACGAGTGCTTATTTGATTTACTGATGCCTTTCTATCAGCTCTACCTATTCTGACCTGTGACATCTAGAAGGCATTTGCATCCACAGAAATGCTGTTTTATGAATATTTTCTCTTTTTCTGACCATTTTCTGTAAGCCCTAGAAATGGTTGTGCGGGAAAATCCTAATAGATCAGCAGTTTCTGAAATACTGCGACCAGCACCAACAACCATGTCTCATTCAAAGTGACTTAAATCACCCTTCTTCTCCATTCTGATGCTCAGTTTAACTTCCGCCAATCACCTTGGCAATGTCTACAGGCTTAAATGCATTTAGTTGCTGCCATCGGATTGGCTGATTAGAAATTTGTGTAAATGATCAGTTTGACAGGTGTAAATAAACCTCAACCTAATAAAATTACTGCTGAGCGCTAAGCATAGCTTAGCTGTGTTTGTCATGTTGGAAGATTAATAGATTAATCAAAAGTTTTCATACAGCTTTGACATTTAGCAACAGCTCTTTTGCTAAAGGAAATGTGCTAGCAAGCTGAGAATCATAGCTGCAAGATTGTTGTTGTCATCTTACAGCTCAGTTTAGCTAAGCTTCTTCATCAGGAAAAAGGTTTAGATGCTATGATTTTTTAGAATAAAGAAATAGGTTTGCATTCATCTTAAGTTAGTTTAGCAAATCCACAAAGCTTGATTTAAAGCTAAAAGGGAAGTTTAGCTTTTTAGCCAGTCATTATTAATTTTCATTGTTAATCGTTACAGGTCAAAGAATAGCTAGAACAGATTTTAAAGTCCATCTCTATTTTAGAAATGTGTGTTGTTATATACTTATATGATGTCAACACAAATATCGGCCAAAATCTACTCTAAGAAAATGTATG